AAAAAAAAAAAAAAAATTCGAACTAGGGGTGGTGGATTTTGCTGGAACTGGAAGATTTTCCTTTGAGCGCGTATGTTGGGCCCTCCCCGGTTTCATGTGGTACATACATGGCCGGAGGGGCGCCACCGGTTTTGTCGTGAAAATTTTTTTTAAAAGCAAATTGGGCCCTCCCTGAAATGGGATCCTAGTTTCGGGACAAAGAGAAAAATAACAGCAATAGAATTTAAAAAAAAAAAAATTATTTTTATTATATTTTGAGTTGGTTAAATAGCCGACTTGCGGTGTACCGACGAGACTCAAAAACCGAGTCGATCATTATCGAAAAATACTTTTATGAAAGTACGGGAAGCGGAGAGTGCGTTGGTGGCATCGATTTATGATTTTCAGGTTCCGGCCATTTATTTGGGTAGCCCGAAGTTGAGAGAAAAATGGCAGTGACGGTGATTTTATTGTCATTTTCATGTCTAGACTTCGGGTACGTCGGTCCTCGTTAGGCGTGCTGAAAATTAGCGGGAGTGCTTTCTTGAAAGCACGAGAACAGTAGAAGCCCTTCGTAAAATTTATTTCACGTTTCGGAGTTTCGAGCATTTATTTTGAGAAGCTCGAAGTCGAGTGCGCATAATAGAAGAATAAAAAGCCATTTTGCGGGGTTCCGTAAAGTTGCGTGTGACCTCGGTTTAATGAGAATCGAGTTGGAGCGTGTAGACAATTCAAGCACGATTCCATACGGAGAAATTTTGCATTTTTCGGAGTTCCGAGCATTTATTATGGGAGTTTGAATTTCTGCGTTAAATAGTATCAAAAGGAGCAAATTTGTCGAGGACGAGTTCGATCATTCGAGGCTTCGTTTTCTCAATTTTTCAGCTTTTCGTCTATTCGAAAGGAGGTATAATTCTTGATTATTATTATAATTGAGTCCGAGATTTTTATTAGTATAAATTCGAGTATTTTTCGAGTTAAAACAATTCAGTTTAAGTATACCAGTTTAATTCCAGATTTAGTTTGATTTTTAGAAAAATTTCTAGTGTATTCATTTATATCCTGCAAAAATTTTTTAGAGCGTCCACAAAAGGCCTTTAAGCGTCCTTCCGATGCCGGAGTGGTGGTGGTGCGCCGCGGCAAATTAGGCCATCTGACCGGCTGGTTTCGCCACTGATAGTGAATGACATAAAGAATTTTGAATACCACGTAAGACTATGGTTGCCCTCTGAAAGCATCTCAGCACGACCTGTAAACCTTATAGCTAGGACCAGATGATCAGGGAATGGGTGCTTAAGAGCTCAAACATATAGAACGGGTGTCGGGAAGGGTTAATGTCCTAAGATATACAAGAATTTGAAGGTAGATAAAAAGGCAAATTTTATGGATGACCTGGAAGAGTTCTTCAGGAAGACTCTAGACAAACTCGAGGATAAGATTGGATAAATATAAGGCATACATTGGGCAGTAAAGTTAAATCTTGAGCTGACCTTGGATGACAGTGGTACTTAGGCGACAAGATTTGGCAGATCTAGGGCAACAATGTAAACTCTCTTATAAAAGGGTTTCATGTATGAAAGGGTTTTTTTCTCCTCTCTATGGCTTTTAAGTACTAACTATCACCTTTTATATTTCGAGAACTGACTTAAGTGTCGGAGGTCTACCGTCTGGAAAAACCCCGACGTGTTGCAAGCCCACGAAGGTTATTTCAAGGAAGGAAACTAGTTCGTAGTCATCCCATTTGCCGGTCCAAAGAGGAGAATTGCACATTATAGACAGTTCTATCATAAGGAGCTAGTTATTAATGTATAATTCACTTTCTAATCCAATGTCTCTTGATCATAAGGTATCACTAGTGATTTGGTGTGAGCTGTGAGGATAAAAAAATATTATGAGACACGTCAAGCAAAGCTTCTATAAGAATCCACAGACTCTGATTTGTAAGTTGATTCGATTCCTGATTCGAGATGTATAGAGCAAAGAGGTTCGACCGAAAATTTTGGTGGACTGGTATTCTTTGCCCATGAAAATAATATACCTCTTTTAGATGATTGTCTTGTTCAAGCTCAGTAGTTACGTGCACCTTACACAGAAGACAAGGGACCTGACTCGGTCCAAGCTTTGTCTGAGGTTAGGTTTATTTTGGGCCCAAACTTGGGGCTCTGTCAGTCCGTTTAACATTTTGGGCTCTTGATATGTTGGCTATGCTGATTTTTGGTCCAACTAAAATAATAAGGCCTGTATTTCATGTACAATTATCTGTCGCGCTCAACTGCTCGGGGCGTAAAATATTATAGAAACACGATTTCGAGAATAATTATATACTGACGAATTGTGCATATATTTCTGAATTTAATACTGGTATATTACATAAGGATTGTACTTAATTTTCATCAAATAAATTTATATAAATTAATTGAATATATGATAATTGTTTCTAGTAGCTATATGTATTCTTTTAAATATGAAACCAGATTCCCTCAACCTCTTAACAACTACAAATATTTAATAACGAGACAACCGTACTTTAGAATATAATATTAAATGAAAGTATAATATTGTATAGTAATATTAATATAATATATATTTTGAAAAATAAAAATGACGACTCGCTGTTTAACAAAAAAATGGAATCTGTGTATTATTGGAGTTGGGATTTAATAATTTTACATATTCCAAAAATAAACATGGAAGATGTTATAGTTCCATTACGGAACCATTTCGTTGAGATTTGTAACCGCTAGATCAACTATCTCTGACGGTTACATAATGATCTAACAATTACAAACCTCGACGGAATGGTTCCGTAACGGGACCTTATCATTTCTCCATAAACATACCAATCTATCATAAAACTTTTGATAGTTTTCTATTTAAGATTATACTAATTTCCCAATATATTTATTTATTGCATGAAATAAAAATCCCATACTTGCATTGGAGTCCAAGAAGCGGGTAAAGTGTCTTATATTGCTGCAGCCATAACTCCCCAACAGTAAAATATAGCAACAAAAGGCTATTGGGCTTCAGGTGGGCCTCCATTGGGGGCTTGGGGCGGTGAGAGCGCGTACGAAAATAATAGGGCCCATCTTTTTATTTAAAACTAAAGAGCGGAGCGTAAATTTACGATGAATAAATTATTGTATGAAACGTATATTTTAAAAATAAAAATAAAAATTCACATTTATATTATAAAGCGTTAGATTTTATTTATATTATTTTTAGAATATTTATTTTTTAGAATATTACATTTAACTTTGTAAGTAAAATAAATATATAGAAAATGTATGATTGTACGTGTTATTTTTATAATAGTTCATACAACTAGGACCTTTTTTTTTTTTTTTTTT